AATAATACAACAATGCATGAATACAACAATGTCATTAAACAGTTCAACAATGCCAACCCCAACACATCACAATATGTTTCAGATCATATCTGTAGTTCTAATAATGAAATGTCATGTAGATTCTTGGGTGCAGTGTGTCAGTAATAAATTTCTAAAGGAATTGGATTAGAGTTTAAAGACCGAATACATAGCTCCCAAGGGGCCATGGGCCAAGATGCAAAAGATGTTCGATCTTGCGCCCTCTCCGCCATCTTAAGGTCGTTTTCTTCGTCTGTGAATTGGGAGAAGAGTTTTTCAGTGTAAAATCCTGCAGTAAGAGCTGGTTGCACGAATCAGTCGAATGCAGCCAGTCTCGCGCTTTGACCGTTCCACCAAAAATTTGTGTTGGTTCATTCTTAATGACAGCTTGCTTATCATGATTGCATTAAGATTTGTCGCTATATAATAATGTCGCATGACACCATTGACTTTCGTAAGACTTCTCATCGATTGCTTAATCTACTCAAGGCCAACTTCGCCCAGTGCTTTTTTTGTTTGTGAAATTTTTTGTTTCCTGTTCTCCCTTGCTCCTTTGCGGAAACAGAGAAGCGAAAATGTTTGTTTCAGCACGATAACTTTCACTTGAGAGTGTGATAATCAGGTCCTACTGTGGCAAAGCCATTTCCTCCAGACTTCCCGTTGGCGCTATAACAATAAGATAACGAATCTCTCTGACTGCCGTGAGGACGCTTTTGTATTCAGTAGTCAAGGTTTTCCACGGAATAAAGTGTGTTATTTCTTTCTAGTTTATTTTAGTACGCTTCTGTTTCGGGCTACATAAACCACAGCTTCGAGAGATATCATTAGCTCCAAATTGTATTCAGCCGTGTATATTTTTCGCAGAAATTCTTGTAGAAATTCTCTTTCATGCTACCCAGTAAACTAACAACCTAATTCCTAGTAACTCGTGTTTTATTGATTGATTGATTGTATTACTATTGGGTTATTTAACGACTCTTTTTCAGTTACGTAAATTATGTAACGCCCAAAACTCACATCTTTTCTCAACATTATGTATATTGTTATATACTTTGGACTTTCCGTAATGAAGACTTCCATGTTAAAAAGAATCGTGTACATTAGAATTTATATTTGATTCTAGTCAGGGTTATAACAGAACTCTCACAGTTTCGTGGGTGTTCATCGTTGCTTATGCCTCCAGATATGATCTTTGGCCATCGTAGTTTTTCATACCTGGCCGAAATGAAGGTAGGAATTAATATCATCATGATAATGAAAATGATTACCATGGCGAACAGAGGAAATATCCAAACGTAATATGGAATCGTAACCAAGGCTGTGGGCCTGGTATTCCCCAGACACTTTTTCTTTGTTGTAGCTGAGGAAGGAAAATGCTGTATATCTTTCGTGGTAAACACTTCGATTTTTTAAATAACGCAGGTTTCGTGATTTTCCCCCCAAAACTTTTTTTGTAATTGTCTCCATAAAAGCTTCAGTGCAATGAATTACGTGTTGGATCCTTTTCAGGTCAGGTGGAGCGCACATTATTTTTACCGTCATGTGTACTGAATGGAGACGAAAAGACATCAAATGTGTTCTTGTAAGCTCAGATGTACGCAGTAAACTAAACAAGCTGGGGAAGCGTACACTGTCCTAGTACCACAAAAGGGGTTCTTATTGCTTGTAGTCACACAACGCAACTGAGTGAGTTCACCGTATTTATCTGCCCGATTTTTCAATACAGAGAACGTGTATTACCTAGGTCTAAAGCTAATTATATCTAGGCGTTTAAACCAAATGGCAGCCATAATATGCCTCACTTATACTACCATCTTTATTTTTCTTGTAAAGTTTGTTCCTATTAGATGAATTCCGATGCTAACAAACCATCTCATTCGTGGTCTTCTTAAAGCATGCTTTCCTTGAGGTTTGATTGAAACCTCGTCTTGCTGATTTGTCATCCGGTGAAAGTGATTTGCTTCTGCATGAATTCCTTAGTGCCATCGATTATTTGTTAAACCCGTATCGGAGAAACTGTTGACATGCCTTGGTCATGGCATCAATAAGGCTTGGCGCTTATCTACAAAAGTCGTGGAAGAAAACATGCAGTAATTTTGCAGTGGTATCACTGATATGATACAATGTTTTAAAACTGTTTGCGTATGACATAACGTAACTGATAAGTTTCTTGACGTCATTTTTCTCAGAAGGTACCGAGGTTATTATTTACTTACAATGAACAGGACGGTGTATCCCAGTATGTCTTCTAGCCTACTGATATTGTCAAACACCAGAGTGACGATATTTCTAAGCGAGAAGGGTTAAAGAAATGCCGAGTTTCACACAGTACGTGTACCTTGTTTATTGGGGGGAGTTTTTGGTGATATAGTGAGACAGGTTTTGTTTTTTGTTGTTTCTGCTGTTGGTCTTATTACGTGCCCTTGGAATGATTGGACCGTTATGGTGGGCATAGCGGACAGACAGACAGACAGACCGGCAGAAAAGACTGGAAGACACCTTTCCGTATGAGAAAATGCCAAAGCAACTGAATTTTCGTATTTCACTTCCTCTCCCGAGCTCCATCGAATGAAACAACGGAGTGTAGAGGTTGAGTCAGGGTGCCGACTTCATGGGTACTCTGGGCCCTGGGCACCCACTTAAACATTTCAGTGGGTGACAGTGGTGGATTAATTGTATCAGTATAATGCTGGGCATTGATGGGTTGTGTTTGGTTTACGCCAGGAGTTACGATTAGTGACGACCGTTGGTATCGATCCCGGGACTTGAGTACAAGGCCATTACGCTTTTAGACCACCGATCCGGCCCTTGTGCTTTGTCGAGCATATTTTATACAGGTCTACTCATTTAGACACCCGATTAAAAAATCTCTTCGAGATGTTTGTCGGTACATGAGGTGCTTTGAGGGGTTAAACCGCTTCGTTTAACATCGCTCTGTTCACAGACCATGAAGCTGACGTAGTCTCGAATAAAATGAAAGAGCATCCAGTACATTACAACAGAATGAAGTTTCAAAAGAGCCCCTTCTCTGTGTACCATCGGCTGACGAGCCAAGTTCTGCGGACGGTAGTTTTTTTTATGATTATCCCAAACGGAAGTTTTTCATATCGCACGCGAACAGTAACCGAGTAACCACCACCAACATATGTCAGACGGCTAATTTCCGCCCGCTTCTTCCGACCCGTTGATCGCTGTTAGGTATACGGGATGTTACATGGTCGTTAGATACGCAACGCGTTCAGAAAAAGAATGTGAAACTTTTCATCTCTTTCGCCATTATAGTTAGTACACTTTCTCAGTGCGTTGATCTAACTTTCTAAGTTTTATTTCTTCATCTGACAGTGTTAAAGTGACCATGAGAGGATGTTCTTGTCTTGTGCAGGACTTGCAGTGCAAACTTACTGTCGATGTGTTATTACTATTTTGACGGGAGTGAACAGTTAGATTTTAGTAGCATCCTTTATCAAATAAATAATTATGTTCGTTTAACAGTTGTGAGGTTTTCGGTATTACGCACTTCACGATTGTGAAAATTATCATATCGTTTTTATTTGCTTCATTAAAGATATAAGAAAGCTTTTTGTTCTTAGTTTTCAATGCATATATACTGTATTAACATTTGAAATGTTCATCGTTTCTAAAGTGTTAATATTGTATATCACGTTTCAGTGATTGAGTGTTGATCAGTTCAGGAGTGTTTCTGTTTTGTGTCGGATATTAGTCGAGATTTTGTAAAAACCCTTACAGTGGACACGGTGGAGCAAGTAAGGTCGAGAAGATTTTACAGAAAGTGAATAAGTGATTTGTGTGTTGTGACAGAACGGCTTTGTGATTTCCTTCACGGAATGGACGTATCAAATACTTGAGTTTCAAACCACTATTAATGCCGTGAATATGCGAACAAAGTAGAAGCACGCGAAGTAATTGTTGAAATACAGAAAGCCAATAATGTTTGTTCCCGATGAACCGTTTTCATATTCTTGTATTCCTATTTCCCTTTCCTTTGGTGTTAGCAGTCTTCGTGTGCGTCGTCTTCGGAGGTGGGGTTCAACGGGGTCCTGGGTGAGTGATTCCATCCATTTATTGGAGTGAGGAACGAGCAATGAGTTTGCACCATGCAACAGCCCCGAATATATTTTTATGCCAAGGTGGCTGATACAATGAGTGGCAGATATTTTAAATTGACTCTGCCCCAGTATTATTTTAATGTGTTTGCCTTGTCAACCCTTCATTTTAAGTCAGAAGTGCTAAAAATAATAGTTCTAGAAATTAGCAGTGAATTACAAAATGCTACAGGTTTTCTGTGTGCAGACCATGCCAGCATGGATATATGTATTCTTTATTGATTGGTGGGAGAGGATCATACCTGCAACATGCTGTATTTTAGACACTTCACGGTGTTTTCTATGGGGCCTTTCTGCAGTGTTTGGATGTTTTAATAGATTATTCCAGGGTTCAGTAATTCATGTATGGTCTTGCCATCTACTGTTGGGATAAAAAGAGATTCTAACTGAACTGTTGATGATGGTCAGGAAAGTTGCTTCATGTACTGATTTTCCCTGTTG